CATGATTGATATGTTTGATGGTTCCAATAGACTGAATAGAGTACGGCCTGTAAATATGATAATAGAACTGGAATATAAAAAATGATTTTTTTTTGCCATTTAAGTGTCCATAATGGCTAAACATAATTAAATTTGCAATATAAAATTTTAAACTATGATCCTATATATAACTTCAAGGTGAACATTTTAACCACTCAAGATCTATGAGATTAGAAAATACATCTTTTCTTCAACAAAAAGAACACCCAATAAGACAGAAGATTTTGAGGGATCAAAACTACAACATCATAATCTAAGCAGAATCGTCATCTTCTACATCCTTCGCCACTTCTACAAAATCACTGTCTCTCGACTTCTCTCAATGTCATCGCCAGTAATGCATGTCTGATTCTTGAGACATATGGCACAACAAAATACAGTACAACCGATAACAATCAAAGCAACGCAGGCTATCACAGCGGCAATAACATAATTTTCCATGCTTTTTCTCTGTTTTGTTGGAACTTACTATGGATAAAATAATTTTTAACTAAAAATCTAAATAAAACAAAAAATATGTGGGTGATATAAAATTTTGAATCACCAGAAAATGCATTTTACAGGAAATAGTTTTTTAGACTTTTACCATTAAAAAATACCTCATCTTTGGCCTTTTCATATTTTCTATAATAATTGAGTTATGATATTAAATATCTTAATTAATATATAGCAAATAAGAAATTTAGTATATCATGTCATAAAATAAGATCATTTTCATATAAGTGTATAATCAAAATTTGATACATGTCAAACAATTTTAAATTACTAAATATAACATTCATAAATAAATAATATAAAAGGAACTAATGTATATATGAAAACAATTAACAATTTTTTTTATTGTGTGTGTAACATATAGGCTTTATATGGGCCTTAACTGCGAGGAAACTGCTTTATTAATAATCTGGCTTAAACAAAATAATGAAATCATTTGGGCTTTAACATTTGCAGTCGATAGTTACTTATACTGAATTTTGTCGTATTTGGGAAGGATTTTGACTTTTGATAGATAATTAAATGATTATTATTTTATTTTGGTAAACAATTAAATAATTATTTTTTCGACAATAATTTGTCAGCTATTGTTAACTTTTGTTTCTGTCATTGGAAATGATTATAATCGTCACACACAATATATTGCAGGAAGAATTAGCAAATGATATACTAATTCTTTATATAGTTAGTAGAAAGAAGTCGAAATATACATATTTTGACCAAGTTTTATCTTTTTTTCTGCAAATATATTGTTTCTTTTTCACCAAATTTTCTATTTTTGTTGGATGACTAGATATTACCACTTCTAAACTTTATTTTTTTGTTTGTTTAATATACGTGACCTCTACATTTTGATTTTAAATACCTAAAACCACAATTTGCTCACAATGTCATGAGCTATATTTTTAAGAAAACAAAAGGATCCTACGTTTCATCTATATCTAAATTAATATAATAGCTCGAGTATACACACTATATATCAAATCAAATTCGACATTTTTTTTTTTTTTGCTTTTAAAAACTTCCAACTTGGATAATTGTCTATTCATCAAAACATTGTTCTCCACGACCTAACACCAATAATGTTCTTCCCGATGGTTTTCTTATAAAATTGAATTGAAATATGAAGCCTAGTGTTTAAATGTCTTACGTACATAGTAGTATAGTACATATCTTACTTTACTTTTTATAATTTTTTAACAATAACAAAAAAATTAAATTTTGTTAGTCCAAAGTGTTTAAATTTCCAAAGAGGACATCACGTCTCGCATAATCTTCCTTGAAGCCTACATGAACACGTGGCATTCTCGTTCCGTGGGCTCTACTTCCGATTGTAGACGTGAACCTAGAAACGATTTTGGTGTTTGACCTCTCATTGCCCCTTCTTTTTCTTCATAATTATAATTTAGGTCTTGTTGTTTTCAAATTATCACATAGATCCATTTTCCCCTTCGATTTTAGTTCTACTTTCTGTTGATGTTTTTTTAAAAATTTTTGTCTCGCTCTTTTTTATTTGTTCCAGTCTTAAGACTATGTCCAGTATTTATCTATATAGATGTTTATGTTAGTTTTAAACAGTTTATTATAAATATATATCTATATAGTTTTTAAAATTGAAATATATCTATACAGTTTTTCTTGCTAAATTAAATTTGTTTTTTTAGGCATAAAATGAAAAAACTATTTATAAGCTAAGAAGAAGCTAATAAGGTGAACGTTAACTTTTCTTTTGAGTATTACTTAAGACTTATCTTAAAAAGCCATAAGTAGTTGGTAAACATTTATTTTATATTTATATATAAGAATCGTTCTTATTTGATTGAATACTAAACACAAATATCCTAATGTGTGTGTCTCTAGACAAACACCCTTATTTGACCATTTTTATACTCAATACAATTATATAAAAATGATAAAAAAGAACAAGTCAACCTTTGTTACTTTCACGTATGAAATGTCAAAGGTTTTTTATTAACGGCGGTTTATTAGTTCATGAAATTTAATAATTTAAAAATCTATGAATATTTGGAATTCTATATAGATTTCAAAATCAATAAATTGGATTTGAGAATCAAATATAATGGATTTAAGAATCAAGTGAGGAGGATTTAGAAATCAAATGAAATGGATTTGAAAACCAAATAAAGTGGATTAGATATAAAAACACATTGTAAAATATATAAAACTGACTTATATCAAGTATTATGATGTAAACGACAATATTTTTTTTTAAATTGCAATTTGCTCTTCAATAAATTTTTATTTAATTAAAAGTCATTTTTTATTTATTTATGAAATCGTGAAAAAGTCAGTTATTTATTTTTTTGGTCACATAAAAAAAGTCAGTTATTATATTAAGTTTTTTATTTATTTAAATAAAAATCAGCTATTCAATAATTATTTTCAATGAAAAGTCAGTTTTTATTTATATGAAATTATGAAAAATTGTTATATCATATAAACATAAAATACTAAATTTTATCATATAT